CCTTGAAACATTAATATGCATTCAGGAAATATTTACTAATAGAGATTGGGCTGAGTATAGGAAGCTTTGAGTTCTAGTTCTGGCTTTATTGTTAACACACTCTGTGACCTTGGTCAAGGCATATTATTCTTCTGGGCTTTAATTTACTTCTCCAGGGTGGATTGAGAGTTTTGAGTTAAATTTACCCTGTTCTGTGACTACAACCAATGGGCAATGGAGCTGGAATTAAGAGCCTCAAGCTTAGAGGCAGATGGTCATCTGCTCTGGATAGGTCCACATACTTTATTCTCTAAGCCATGCAGAATATTAGAAGTCAAATTGAGCAAAAGATGAATCAATGCATTATAAGACACAAAATGAAAATGTGAGAGCATAATGAATCTTCTTGAGTGTGACTCTTGCTCAAGCGCCTTACAGGATAAACCCCCAAGAAAAAAATGGCAAATTTGGCAAATGAGGAAACTGAGGCATGATTAACTTGCTCAGTGTCCCACAAATAGCAAATAAAAGGCCAAGATTCAACTGCTTGCACAAAGTTGAATCTTGTTTGTGCCCATGTACTCTGCAACCTACGGACTTTGCTGCAATTAATGTTGTATGGCATGTGATTTTTCTCATTTTCTTTGGTTCAGAAGTTGCTGTAATTTTGTTCTTTTATTACGTGTTTTGGCCAAACTCACATGTGTGCTTATATGTGTGTATGTGGTATATATAGTTTATGTGTGCTGGGTACTTGGTAGTTGCATTTGGTGGAGTACTTATATCTATGTATAGGGTGCAAAAGAAAGAAAGAGTCCTTTAACTCTTTTAAAGTATTAATACTTAAAAAAAACTTGTCTTCATTTTGTTGACAAGAGAATAAATGCAGTGGAAATAACCACAGTTCTTTATGTTTTTATGGGAATAAATGCAGTGGAATTAACCACATTTCTGGTATAGAATGCATATGCCATCTGAGATCAGATTGGAATGACTCCTATTAAGCAGGGAAGATTATGGGAGAGGTAGGAATTGAACCTGGTTAGTGGGACTTGGAGAATATTCTGGAAGAGAAGGTTTTATTTAAGAATACTTCTTAAATGAAAGGATTTAAGAACTATTGAGTAAAGCTATGGACTGTTTTCCCAGAAAAGGCGTTAGGGCCAAGATGCCTGAAGTTCAACCTTGGCTTTTCTACTTTCTGGCTGTGTGACCCTGGATGAATAAATTAAGCCTCAGTTTTTTCATTTGTCAAATTAAATATCTCCTAGAGCTATTTTGAAAACATTTAATTAATGCATGAAATGTGTTTAGATGAGTGCCTGGTATGTAAGTAAACACTCAGCCAATGTTAACTATTAGTATTTTGGAGAGTTTTGAAGTCTGTGCTTGACTTGATGTCTATCTTTTCATAGTTAAATAGCTATGGAGATTTCTCTCTTAGTCATTGACATTGACTGTAAGTTTAAAAATCAGTTGATATTAAATGGCAGCAGGTATGCAGATAGTGGTGGTGGGTTTGGGAGTGAATCTTTATTTCTGATATTTCAAGATGGTTCATGAATATCTTGCTTAAATCCTAGCCAGGCAATATAGCAGGGAACTCTGTAGATTTTTTCCTCCATGCTAGATCTTTACTGGAAGAATGCAGAAAATTAAACAAAGAGTGAGCTTTTATACCTTCTAGACCAGGAGACTATGGACATACAATAGAAGAACTCACCCGAGAAAACCGGGATCAAGGGCAAAATGTGTGGTAGAAGCAATGAATGCCAAAGACATGTTCTTGTTACCATCTGGACCTCCTAGAAACTGAGCTTATCATCCTAATTCCTGACATTGGCAATCCTTTCTTAAACTCTTCAGTGGTTTCCTCTTTAGACTTATAGGATAGATGCTTATCTCTGAGGAACAGTGTGAAAACCATTTATGATTGGAACTTGCAAACGTCTCTAACTGCATCCCTGTGCTCCCTTCCACCCTCCACTTCCCTGGTGAGAGGCGTGTGGTTTGTTGTCATGCTGCTCCAGTTCTCTGTGCTTTTGCTAGTGCTGTTTCCACTGCCTGACTGCTTCTCCCAACCTCTTTGGCTTTTATTCATCTTTCAAGTCTTAGCTAGGTGTCATCTCCTCCAAAAAGCCTTCCTGAGTCCACATTTGGCTTCATCATCCTTTCCTTTATTCCCAGAAAGATTTGTGGGCTTTCCCTCTCGGCATGATCACCTGTTTGTACATCAGTTTTTCTTTGCAGCCTGGGACTCCTTGAGGGTAGGGCAGAAGTACTCATCAAATATCTGTTGACTAGAGGTATTATCAGAGCAGCCCTTTGGAAGTATCCAGCTGAGCCAGTGGTGTGTTTTCCACCACTAGGGCAGAACAGCTCTCCCAGTTGCTTCCATTTCAGCTGTTGCCAGTCCTCTCACTAGTGCCAAGGCTGAAAACCTGGGAGTCATCCTGATTCTTCACTTTCCTTCACAGCCATGCCATAGCCATCAACAGGTCCTGACAACTCCACTTTCAAGTGCATCCTTAATCTGACCACTTTCACCACCTCCGAGTCTAGCCTTGTGGCCCAAGTCATTTCTGATCTCTCAATTTATCTCTCTGCTTCTACTCTTGGCAATTCCCCTCCTCCCCACCACCACACACACACAGAGCCTATTCTGCATGTAGCGAATAGGGTGATCCCTATAACAAAACAAAACAGATGATGGTTCTCTTCTGTTCACCCATCTACCTCCATAGCTTTATGTTACCCTTTGAACACAATTCAAACTCTTGATATCCTGGCCTACAAACTCCACATGCCCATGAAAACCCCTCTGGCCACCTTTTACCTCATGTTCATTGTTGCCATTGCAGCCACACAGACTCATGGTATTCTCGAATTTCCTGAAACCATCCTGATCTCAAGGCCTTTGCATAGGTTGGAATACTGTTCCTCCACTCTCTAGCTGGATCACTCATCAATCAGGGCTCTGAGGCTAAGGGGAACCTTTTCTGACCACTCTCTAAAATAGCACGTGATTTGCTCATCTCAGAGCACTTTCGAAAATAGCACCTGAATTTGATTTCCTTTACCCTGCTTATTGCCAGCAGTAATTACCTTTTTATAAAAAATTTGATGATGTGTGCACTATCTGTTTACCTCAGGTAAGATCCTTGATGGCAGAAACAGAAGTTTCTTCACTGCTGTGGCCACATGGTCTCACACTCAGTGAATGACTAGATCAATGGGGGTAATATCTATGATAATCTTACAGTGCTTGAAATTTTCTTTCCTTCACATTCTTCTATTTGGATATTATAATGATGAGAAAGAGTGCTGTAGAGTCAATCAGCAGGCTGAGAGCTTATGATTTTTTACTTATTGATGTAGGATTCAAATATATTGTTTTTAAATCTTGAAATAACATTTGTGCAGCCCATTTTTATGTGAGCTCCCCAGGTTACTCAGTTAGGGAAAATTTACCTTCATGGGACTTGTTCTTTCTCCGCATTTCTGGATCATTGGAAATGCTTATGAGGTGGAAAAAAGGCAAAGTCAACGGGTCAATACTTATTGAGTAGTGAATCTGCAGATTTACATAGCAATGTAAAAAGTCCCACTGTGTCTGTGTTCTCGGAGAATATGTACTAACACTATAAAACTCACAGGCAGTAGAGAGAAATCCACAGAGGTGTGAGTGGAAAGACAGAGAACTACAGTTTGAATCCAGTGGAGATGCAGGTTCCAAATTTAGTGGATAAAGGAAACAGGGCATATGATCAAAATTATCCTTGGAATTTCTAACTGGGACTGTAAATCATCATAGAATGCGTATTTTTGTTCATATAATCCTTTTACAGTGATTTACTATTAAATATATGTGGTTTTTTAAATAAATAACAAGTGATATAAAAATCAATGTCCTTAAATGCTAGACTTGTGTGCAGTTACTTATATATTACTTTATTGGTAATATAAGTAAAGTAAGTGGTTACTGTGATAGGCGGAAGCAGCAGCAGTCCCTGTTTCCCATCTTACACATTTTCAGAATAGATACTCCCTTGGTAGAATCATGGGCTGACACTATCACACTATAAAATTTTCTCTGGTTCTGTCTCTTCCCCTCTGGAACACACATGGATGATTCTTGTTACTTAATGCACACATTAAATAACTGTATACGCCATGAACTGGAGGCCTTGTGTTTTGAGCGAAAAGCTTTGGATTTGAGTTTGTGTTTTCAAACACACTTCTAAGGTAGAAATTGTCAAGAGCTTTCCCAAACTCTCTTTTTAATCCTCCTGAGCTCACCATCTCTAGGATTCTCTTTCAATTGGACAGCCATGCAGTTGAGCTTGGCCAATGAAACATGAGTGGAGGGTGTGGCTCAAAACCTGCCATGTTCAAGCCTACATACTCTTTCCCTCTTCCAGCTTTGTGCTGATGAACATGGCCACCTTGAAAGGTGTATTGAATATGGCACAGCCAGAAAATGCAAGGAGTCTTCTTCTCTGGATCACCACTTGAAAAGAGCCACTTGCTGCTCACAAACCCTACTTTGGACTGAGGTAGGTAAAAAAAAATTAATGTATCTTTACTTAAAATCACTGAGATATGGGGGTTTATTTGTTATAGAAACAAGCATTGCTTTAACTAATGCACTATTTGTATGACCTTGCACAAGCTACTTAAGCTTTCTGTGTCTTAGTCATTGTTCCTCCCACCGTGGGGCCCCTCCCAACATAACCAGCTCATACATTTAAAAGAAGCAATTGAGGAAAGTTCCATGAAGAGACTATATGCAAAGATGTGGGCAGAACTAAGGGAAACTCACAAGGGAGGGCGAAGCATCCCAGGGTTAGTGGCAGCAGAGACCCATTTTCATTCTAAGCCTAGGACTCAGGGCACAGGGAGGAGGCATTTACTGAAGCCTGGGGAGATGCTAGAGCTGCAAGAAAGAGCTTTCTGAAGGGAGCTGCAACTTTCAAAGGCAGTCAATTTAAGCTCTGACAGGAAGGAATTTAAAGTAATAAAACGTCAGATGCCATTCTTCTACCTTCCAGTCTTCCTGCCGATAGATCTCATTGACTAAACCCAACTAGAAGCCAGAAGGCAAGGAGCTCATTTATGTAGTTTATACAAGTCATCTTCCTAGGGTGTGGACCAGGTACAGAAGGGTAGAGAAATGACAAACAAGGGACAAACAAGGAATTTCAAGCACAGTTTTTTAACCCACAAATTGCAGTTCTTAGCTTCTACTTTATGGAGGCTGCTTGGAGTTATGGGCCTCGATATACAAAACACCTAATAAGGAAACCAGAAGACAATGGGTTCCGAATAAAATACAGCTTTTAATATTCCTCTTGCCATCTGCTATGAAACCACTGTCCATTGATTTTTTTTAAAACTTTTTTCTACTGATTATTTTTTGTGTTTGTGTGTCGGTTTGTTTTAATTTCCCAGCTAACTGTTAATGCCAGGAGTTAAATTCCAGAATGAATTTAACACTGGTGCTTCCTGGAGACTGGCATCTTTATTTCTCCGTGATTTGTGTTTGTCCATAGGTGGGGCTTGAGAAAATATCTAGTTTCAGAGTCTTTGGAGGATTCTTCCTTCTTAGCTTCAGTCACTCATTGTTATTTTCAGGGTCATGTTGCCAGGAACTTCTCCCTGCTGCAGACAAGAGCCATGTCTAAACCACTCTGCTTCTGCCTGCCTGAATTTCGCTACTTCATATTTTATGCCTGCTTTGGGGTTATAGGATAGCATTACCTTATCATGAATGGGAGGAGTGGGTCTTTCCCAGTAAGTGATGAGAGACTGGCATCCTTGTGAGGCAGGCTTGGTGTAATAAAGAGGATCCAGGGTTCTAATCCCTCCTCTGCCTTTTACTTAGAGTGTGACCTTGAGAAATTCCTTCTCTTTCTTTGAGACTTAGATTCCTCGTCTATAACATGGAAGGCTCACTGTGCCTGTCTTCCTGGGTAGATGTAGGGAGACAATAAAATACATATGCATAGAAGTCTAGGCATTTCCCTTGACACATGGCAGACATTCAGAAATTCTTATAGAAAAATAAAAAAATTCTAAGGTCCAATGGAGATCCTGACATTTTGATTATACTAGAGCTAAAAATGAAGCTGATAAGGTGCCCCAGGTCCAAAAATGTTCAGTCCTCCTAGGCAATAAAGTGTCCTTCTTATTCTAATTGATGCCCTTTTCATTTTAAGTGTGACTGAAACATTTTTCTAGGGTAAATTGAGTTCACAGATGTCAAGTCTATTCCTTGTGATTCCTCAGTAGTAAGACGGGAGGATAAAAAAAAATCACATAGAAACATACCTTTTGCATAGAGCAATGTAAAAAACACACATCCAAAGATGCAAATGCCAAGAACAGAAGAGCCTCAATTTCTGGGAATCCTTTGGCTGGATTCTGTTACTTTTTCTATTTTTCCATGTGCGACATACGGCACCCTCCTTTTTCTGAGTATTTCTGGAATAACTTGTCATTTGGGGAGTCTGGAATCCAGAATTACTTGGGTTAGAGCAGAACAGTCTCGAGTCTAAACTCCAGCCCTCCCTTTGACTTTGGGGAGTTACTTGACAAACCTTTTGCACCTATGAAATAAACATCATAATGTCATCTCAGAGTTTGCTTAAAGATTAGAAAAATAATGTAAATAAAGTCCTTAATAGACGTGCTTAAGAAAGTTCATTAGTGGTATCAATTATTGTTGGAAAGGCACAATTATCACATTATTTTTGATCTAGGAAAAAGTCTAAGGCAATGTAATCCATTGCTTTCACTTCATGTCTAAAGAAACTGAGGCGTAGGATGGGGAGTTAGGACTAATCAAAGGCCACCCTATTAGTTTGTAGAACCCAGGTTTCTTGATTTCCACTGGGATTTCCTAGCTGTAGAAACACCATTTTATATAAAAGTGTCACCAATGAGCAAATAGCAGAAAGCCAAGTCATAAATAAATTTATGACAGTCTTCTAACTTAGATGCCATCTGCAGAAAACTAGAAATTTGGGCAAGTCTCCTGACTACCACTGGTATGCCTAATCATTAATCCCTGTTGGGTTTCTGAATGCCCTGGAGATTTTGTTGTCATTCGATACATCAATCGGAAAATGAGTCTCAGTTTTTGGCGATGCAGTTTCATAGAAAATTTGGAAAGATGTGATTATTACCCTCTATTTCATGTCCTTCCAAGGAGCTGGCTCTGGGTAAATAGGTGCACATCTTTGAATCAAGAGTCATGGATAGGTGCATTATTACTGAGCGGACTTAAGTTCCTAATGTTCACTATGAATAATGAGTCTAATGTGAAATCTTGATGCATTTAAGGTAGGTATGATGTTCTTTTAAAAATGAATTATCCAGGGCCAGGCGTGGTGGTTCATGCCTATAATTCCAACAGTTTTGGAGGTCAAGGCAGGCAGATCACCTGAGGTCAGTGGTTCAAGACCAGCCTGACTAACATGGTGAAACCCCATCTCTACTAAAGATACAAAAATTAGCCGGGTGTGGTGGTGGGCACCTGTAATCCCAGCTACTCAGGAGGCTGAGGCAGGAGAATTACTTGAACCTGGGAGGCAGAGGTTGCAGTGAGTCGAGATCATGCCACTGTACTCCAGCCTGAGCTACAAAGCAAGACACCACCTCAAAAAAAAAGAAAAAAAATTATCCAGGCCAGGTGCAGTGGCTCATGCCTGTAATCCCAGTACTTTGGGAGGCTCAGGCAGGAGGATCACTTGAGCTCAGGAGTCTGAGATATGGCAAAACCCCTATCTCTACCAAATGGTAGATATGGGCAAAACCCCATCTCTACCAAAAATACAAAAATTAGCCAGTCTCATAACCTGGTCTCAAAATAAATAAGTAAATAAGTAAAATTTTAAAAAATTAAACAATGAATTATCTGTATCATGGAGAATGATTAATGCTTACATTTTTGTGGAATATGCAAGGGAATGGTGAGGGACTGTGACTGTGCCTTTAGTGGTCAAAAGAGGTTCTGTACCAGGACAAATAGGATGTCTTGAAGAAAAACTACAGCTACCATCAAGTAGAACTCTAGGAGAAGGTAAAAAGGAGGGAAAAAACAAGTATTTATTGAATACCTACTATGTGCCACACATTTTACCACACTTTAAAAATTATCACTCGATTATGTTACTTTTCATTGAAAGCTCTTTGACTGTATGGCTCTGTGTGTCATATTCTCACTAGTAATGAACACAGTGCCTGAAGCATCATTAAATGTTTGTTGAACGAATGTGTTAGGAACTCTTCAAAAGTAATCTCTTTAACTCATAGTCACCTGTGCATTGGCAATTATTATCTTCACTTTGTAGATAAGAACACCAAGATTTGGAAATGTTGAATAATGTGTCCACTGTGTCAGTGGCCAATCTGAAATTCCAGTGTAGGCACCATGATTCCTGGATGGATATTAATATCTAGGGATATTACATACCATGCTGTTAGACTCTTCATGGGAGTCATCCACTTGTGTTCTGTGCTATGGAATGGTGTGTCCTTCTCTTTGATTCTTAATTCCTGCAGATTGTGGGGAAATGGTTCTACCATTGACAACCAAAGGCAAAAGGGGTGCAACCAAAGAAGCTCCCTGACCTAATTCTTTATAGTTAGTGGCAAGTGTGGTGTGGTGAGGGGAAATAGCACTCTATGAAGATTTAATAGTGCAAATTCCACCCTCCTGACAACCCCTTTCTTCAGCACTGGATGGGTGTATTAGTTGTTTATCATTGTGTAATAGATCACCTCAAAACTTAATAGCTTAAAAACAACACATTAGCTCACAGTTTTGTACAACAGCCATTATGGAGCGGCTTAACTGGGTATTCTGGATAAGGGTATTTCATGAGGTTGTGGTCAAGATGAGAGCAGGGGATGTTGTCATCTGGAAGCCTGACAGGGACTGGAGGATCCACTTTCCAAAATGGCTCACTTACCTGGCTGTTGGCAAAGGCCCCAGTTCCTTGTTGGCTGTTGGTAGGAGGCCTCAGTTGCTCACCATGTGGGCCTTTCCATAAAGCTGCTTGAGTGTCCTCACAACATGTCAGCTGGACTCCCCCAGAGAGAATGATCTAAGAAAGAGAGAGCAGGGAAGAAGCCACTGTTCTTTATTACCTAGTCTCTCAAATTGCACACTTTTACTTTTACCATATTTTATTCATTAGAAGTGAGTCACATTCTGTGGGAGGGTAATTAGCCTTCACCATTTGGCAGGAGGAGTATCAAATAATTGGTGGGCATATTGTAAAGCTATCATAATGGTTCTGGTAGGCCATACTTTTGCCTCTGCCACTCAATATTTGATCTCCATTTCTTACAGGTATTGTGAAAAGAGAAGGGGCTTTAGAATAAGACGGGCAAATGTTAAACATTGAGTAAATTTTTAATGTCCTTACCCCTTGTTTCTCAAGCATGAAATGAGAATAATTATATCAAATCTTCACAGTTTTGCAGGATGGGTTGCAGGTAATAAAGTCCTAGTGCAATGTCTGGCACAAGGTAAGTGTTTAGGCAGTGGGCTCCTTTCTGTTACATAATGTGGCAACCCTCTTCTCCCCCCTCCACCTCTCAAATATGTGTCTGAGTCAGAACACCAAAGTCACAGACACACAGGTAGAAAACAATTCCTGATTCTATTCTGTTTCCATCATGCCATGCTGCCAGCTTCTGCATGGGGCCATCTTTACTTCTGTGGCAAGGAATATAGTTACTTGTTACAGAAATTAGATTCCAGAATTGGGATATGAGTTGGAAAGGGAACTTAAATGTTCTCCTTCAGTCTTGCTTAAATTCTCATGCTTATTTGCATATGAGATATGAGTTTACATCTAGATTCTCCCACTTGTTATTCTGCCAACCTTGAGTCGCCTTTCTCAGGGTAATAACTTGCCACTCAATTCTGTTGTGAGGTTTAAGTCAAGTAAGATGTGTGTAATTTTCTCCCTAAAGAGTAGCTATTATTTATTATTTATCATATTTATCATTAACTTCTGTTCCTTAGACCTGACTAAAATATTTCTAATGTCATCTGAAAAGATTGCATTATATTGGGTGGTGTGTGTGTGTGTGTATACATATGTGTATATATATATATACATATGGCACCTTTTTTTTAAGAAGCACAAAATATGGTTTGGCCAGTTACTTAGATTATTTATTTCTCACAAAATGAAGTAAAGTCCATATTTTCTCATTTAGCAGAAAAGTGAAATAGAAGGTTAATAGGTTGGCCTAAGCCTCACAGCTGGTAAGTATAGCCACCTAGATTTGAACCATGGAAATCATTTGAGATGATGCTCTGCTTTATTTAATCTGTTCAGACAATGGCATTGTGGTCTCATGGGGAGACAGGGTAGATTTTGTGACCTGAATGTCTACTTGTTTGACTATGTAGTACAACTAAAAATTGTGAATCCACTAAATAAGTCTTTGTGTTTAATTTAGTTTAGTGCAATAATAATTTCCAGGGATATTACAAGCCAGGCACTGGAATAGATAATGAGGTACAGCTAGGTGAAGGGGGCAGGATGGAAATGCTGAGGTACAAAAGGGTCATAAAGCCCATTGTAATGTTCCATTTTTGTCTCTAGATAATGACAAGCAGACAGTAACACACTGGTAGCAAACATTGAAGACTGGTGGCCCAGGGGCTCTGATGTTGATGAAATTCCTTAAGAAATTGAGTTTTATAATTATACAGTTGACCTGCTTGAAAGAAAGATATCACAGTAGAACAATTTCCTTGGTTCTGCCATTTCATTTATCACCATTGTTTGTCTTTGTTGTCAGTATTAACATCAATTATTAATCTTAATGCTCATTTTCCTTCCTAGGCTTCTTTCCTGTCTGACATGTGGAATCTCTTGCTATTAAATTGAGAGGCAGGTGGAAACATTAGTCCTTCTTACGTCATTGGTCATTGTTTCTTCTGAACCAAGAGTTTTTTTCAGTGGGGGCAGCACAATTGGAAAAATCTATTCCAAGTGGCATAAAGACTGGTTTCTTTGCTCTGTACAAAGCATCCCAGTATCACTTAAGTAGCTATTTCTCTGAGGTTGGACTTCAACTAGAACCATGACGGTGGGATGCAGAGAAACTGGCAAATAGGTTAAATCTAAAGCAGGTAGAAATCACAACACTTGGGATGGCAGAAACAGCTAGGTGCCTCCCAAGATCTGCTCTCCCTTTCTGTCTCAGTAACCTAAACTCATTTTATATAGGATAGCAGGCCATCCAGCTAAAAGACTGTATTTACTAGTCTTCTATGGCACTAAGTTGTGGCCAATGAGAATTAGCAAAAATACAATGTGCAACTTTTGGGAAGGCTGCTTAAAGGAAGCTGAGTTAACAGGAACTCTCCCTTCCTCAGGCCATTGCCTTTTTCCTTCTAGCCTGCAACACGGATGTGATGGTAGCACTCCCAGAAGCCATCTTGAACTGTAAGTCAACATTAGGCAGAAGCTGCAAGTGAGATGGTGAGGCAGAATGAAGAAGCTTGGACCCCTGATGACCATTTTATCATGCTCAGACTTCCCACCTCTGATCTTCTATTATGAGAGAGATATTTATATACCCAAGTTATTTAGATCATTGACATTTTTAGAGCTTCTGTTACATGAAGCTGGTTCTCACCATAAAAAAGCTGGAAGTGACTAGGTGGGGTAGAAAGGGGTTGGGAATGTTGAGAAAGAGAAAAAAAATCAAAGCAGACTCTCGGGTGATTTGGGTGGTGGTCCGATTCACTGAGAGTAATACACAAAAGGAAAAAACAAGGTTAGAAGAGAATTAACACAGTTTTGGAAATGTTAAGGTAGAAGGAGCTGCAGGACATTTAGGAGTGGGAGTCTTACAGGCAGCTGGATATATGTGTTAGGTGCTATGATTAAATATTAAGGAAAGAGATAGAGGTTTGGCCATAACTATCATGTGTGTGATATGTAAAGCTATTGTAGTGGATTAGATTACCCAAGAAGACTTAGATGGTGTTGAAACTTAACATAGAGAAGCTGGGTGAGCTTACTGTGGGACAACTGAGGGTGGTATACATCTCGGTAAGCATATAATTATGATTCCAGTCAGGATGTGGTAAATACACCATTAATGATCCACTTAATTATTCGTCCCCTAGGTAGTCCTATTTTGTTAGGATGGCAAATAAGCAAAATTTTAAGTAATTAGTTTCTCTCTTTCCAAGGGATCTAAGGCAGAGACTACTGCCAAACAGAGGCACAAATCACCAAGAGATAACTAGCATTGCCCCAGTAAATTGACAGAATTTCAGCCACATCAAAGCTTTGTGATGTCTGAACCTATGTGTTCTAATCATAGGCATGTAAGTTATTTCCAGAGGAGTTGTGTGTTATTGAAATGGACTAATGAATTTCCCCTAACATCTTCAAGGAATAATAAAGTAGCGGACGAAGCACGGATCTAGAAATTAGTTAAGACTGAGTATGTTTGTTGTAACGGTCTCTATCTATGCTATCCCACCTTAACCATCTCAGTCCCATTTTCTCATAGGAAAATGAAGTAATGTCTCCACTTCATGGTTCTACTGTGAGAAATGTGGGATGATATATTTTAAGTATTGGAATAGTACCTGGCACATCAGACACCCATAATTCCTCATCTCATTTGGTTAACAAAAGGCTAAAGCCCCAGGAATCTGGGGTTCATTTTATAGATGCTTTCAGTTTGAAGATTCTATTATCATAGGGTTTTCTTGACCAGAAGAGAAAGAACTTTAATGAAAAATTTTAAAAAGGAATGAAACGGGGGTAGGGCTGGCATACTGCACAGCTCCATGGGATGCCATTTACATTGTATTGATGCAAACAGCTGCCTTGGAATTGGGCAGTGTGCACTCTGTATAACTGTATGCAGTGACCCTGTTTGGAAGCTACCTCTTAAAATGTTCTTAATAATAATGTTTGTTATCTATTAAAATAAGAAAAGGTATGCCACCATGGGTTTTGTCTTTTGTTGTCTTTAGTTGAGGTGGGACTTCTCAAGGCCTCTTAAGACCCTCACTTTCCCTACTCTCTGATGCACACTTAGTACTTTCCCTTTGCTAATTTTTGCTTTCTCTCTCTCTTTTTTTTTTTTTTTTTGCACATGCTACTCCCTTCTTCTGGCATTCTCTCCTAATTTGGCTTTCTTGTGTATATCTTTTTTTTTTTTTTTTTTTTTTTTTTTTTTTAAGAATCAGCTCAAATGTTGTTCTTCTGGTTGTCTTCCCTGCCAGCTCTGGGTAATATTAAGTGTTCCCTCTCTGTAGTGTCATGATGTCATGGCTGTATCTTTGCCATTGCCCTTGTCTTAAAACTCATGCTCCTCAGCCTGTTCTAGGAGGCTCAATACAGTGATTATTTCTTCAGTTGTGACTCTAGTCACTTTCCTCCCATGGTCCACCCAGAGTCAACACACTCTGTTCATACTGACTTTGGGCTTAATTTGAGCTAGGAAGAGACCTTCTTGCCATGGACTGGGGCCTATTTCTGGAGAAGAGCATGTGTAATCCTGCTCGTGGGTATATAGTATGAACACCCCTTCTTAGCCATGTTATATGCTTCATGTTTTAAAACCTCTGGACTTGTGATATCAAGTTGCCACATGTGGCTATTTAAATTTAAGTTAATTAAAATTAAATAAAAATTTAAAATTCAGTTCCTCAGTTGCACGAGCACCACATTTCAATTGCTCAGTAGTCACATGTTGCTGCTGGTTACCATATTGGAAAACACAGATATAGTAAATGTCCATCAGTGCAGAAAGTCCTTCTTTTTTTGAAACAGGGTCTTGCTCTGTCACGGAGGCTGTAGTGCAGTGGTACGATCCCTTTTCACTACAACCTCTGCCTCACCGGCTCAAGCAATTCTCATCCCTCAGCTTCCTGAGTAGATAGGACTACAGGTGTGTGCCGCCGTGCCCAGCTAATTTTTGTATTTTTAGTAGAGACAAGATTTCGTCATGTTGGCCAGGCTGGGCTCAAACTCCTGGCCTCAAGTGATCTGTCCTCCTCAGCCTCTCAGAGTTCTGGGATTACAGGTATGAACTACTGTACTCAGTCAGCGTGGAAAGTTCTATTAGACAGTGCTGCACTGGACTTTTCAAATTTTTGAGAGAAAAGGTACCTTTTTTCTCTTGTTACTCAAAATGTTGTCCCAGGACCAGCAGCAGCTCTATCCACTGGTTGCTTTTACAAAACTGCAGAATCTCACACCTACCAAGTCAGAACTACTGAGTCAGAACCTGCACTGTAACAAGATCCTCAGATGATTTGCACCTGAAGGATTCATGTTCTTGAAAGTCATACATTACTGCCTTAAGGATCACTAATTTCAGCTACCTCTCTCCAGATAGTTTCAAGGTTTTCAACTACGCCTGCAAATTGAAAGCTCCTGAAGGGCCTTAAAAAGTGTGGATATTTGATTGTGCCCTCAGAGTTTGTGATATAATTGGCTTGAAGCATAGTTTTAGTACTGGGAACTTGAAAATCTTCCCAGGTGATTCTAATGTGCAGCCAGGCTTGCGAACCACTGCTTTAGAAACAAGACAGAAAGGTTCGGAGAAGGAAAGTGATGGATACAGATCACTAGTAATAGCCTCCCTTATTTCCTAACTCAGAGTCTAGTGCTCATTCTGCCACACCATACAGTCTAACCCTCGGTGGCCTGAATTCTAGAGAAGCACTCTGGACTGATCAAAAATTTTCCCCTATCTTTCTCCACTTGAAGCAATCACTCTGATATCCCTAGTGGAGCTAACTCAGGGACTGCATTGTAATTGCTTGTTAATGTCAAACTGGTAGCTGATGGATTTGCCATCTGCACAAGCCTGCCTTTAATGGCCAATGCTGGGTGTGCAGGGCTTGCAACTCTTCTGGTGGAGATCAATACTCTATTATGGAAGCAACCGGCTGGCAGACACCATGGGGGCCTCACCTTTTGCCTTTAGGTGCACTGGCTCTGCGAAGAATTCCAGTCAGAGTTGTGAAGGTTGTGGGTGAGGGAGCCACTAATGAGCCCAGCAGAGCCCCACAGTGCCACTGCGGCAAGTCTGCATGCAGGGGGACAGCAGCGCTGGCCATTGCCCTGCACATTAAGACGGCCCGCAGGCCAGGCATGGTGTATCATAGGGACAGGATGCACCTTGTCCCTGTGATGTCCAGTCAGTTACATCTTCCACTGCAGTCAGCCTCAAACGTGCCCTATAAGAAACTGCTGGAAAAACACAAGAAAAGAGAATTCACAGACACTATCCATTCCCTCTGCCCACCCTCCTTTTCTCTCTCTGAATTGTCTTCACTGCAGGTAAAGTGGAGCAGAGGGCAGAAAAGCAGCATTTATAACAATGATAATAACCAGTAGCCTGTATTTATTGAGAGCATAGAATGTTCCCGGAAGTTGGCTAAGTTCTTTCATTCATTTTATTACTTAATTCTCATAACAACACTATGTTGGAGGTAGATTTTACCAAGGAGGAAACTCAGCTCAGAGAAGTTATATGACTTGTTCAAGGTCATACATCTAAGAAGTGATAGAACTAGAATTTGAGCTACATCTGTCACTCAGCAAAGCCCATGCTCTTTACAACCATGTAGTTCAGTTTCCCAAAACACATGCATAAGGCTCTCAGGGCATTACTCATGTGGAGAAGAAAACTGCCAGAAGGACAGCATTTTAATCACTATGCATGTTTCACTGTAGCATTTCCTGTTCTATTTTTAAATGTTAGAATATAATTTATAAACATACATTGCACCAATTTTATAGATGCCACTTGATGATTTTTCTCTTGCAGGTGTATATATATATATATATATATATATATATATATATATATCTCCATGCAACCACAAGTGAGTCAAAAATATAAAGCATTTCCACCATCCCGGAAGTGTCCTTAATGGTGCTTCCAACTCGGTCTCCACATCGAGAGATAATATAATTTCTATTAACAGAGATTAGTTTGCTTGGTCTTGAATTTCATGTAAATTGAATTATGCAGTATATATCTGTGTCTGGTTTCATTGGCTTAATTTATTTTTAAGATTCACCCATGTTGCAGCATGCCTGAGTAATTTATTCCCTTTTATTGTTGTATACTACTCATTATATGGATACATCACCATTTATTTTCCATCGTCCTGTTGATGAGCCTGTGGGTTGGTTCTCCATTAGAATCAACTGTTCCCTCCCTTCAGGGTAACCTTGGCCAAAGCTCTCAGTTCCTTTCTCTACCTGGCCCTTGATTCCAGGTTCCAGTGAATATTCTCTCCATTTGTCCCTTCTAGCCTTGAGGTATAAATCTATAATGAACCCTAGGGTACTGCAATATTTTTAAGGTTTCCTGAGGTCCTGTTCACAGTGTCTTTTCTTTCCTTTTTTCTTTTTTCTTTCTTTTTCCTCTTTTTATTTTTTTCTGTAAATTCCCATTGGGCAGGACAAGATTTGTATCTAATATGGTGTTACCACGTCCCCAAATCCTAACACTCCTCACCTCTTCTTTCCACCCAGTTGCCAGCAAAGTATCTTGCAGAAGGGAGGGTTACAAAAATGTTGTCTGATAGATGGACTTGCTGAATGAGACATTAGCATTTTATTAAAGTGTCTGAAACTAAAGCTGATGAGTTTCCTACAAGTAGCTCCTCAGAGAAATCATTGTTTTTAATTTGTTTCTCCCAAGGCAAGCTAAGAAGTAGACCTAGGCCGTTGGCATTCATGGCATGGAATCCAAGGACAAGTTTTCACTGAGCTTTGTGAACTAAGATGAGCAAAGAGATTGCTATGTTTCCTCATCTGGAAAATGAGTAAAATACTACCTGGCCAGCCCCAATCCACAGATGTGTTGTAGAGTAGTAGATGTTAAAGCAAAATTCCCCTTAAATCATAGAGGATCTTGCCATTTATTAGGATTATAAACAAAATTCTGAAATCTGCTATTACAGTTTAATTACCCCAAACACATTCTTTGAGATTCTCAGTGCATGTGTCTACCATCACATCAGCCTGAGAACTGCTGCTGAATAGGTGCAGCTCTTACACAACCCAATGCACATTAACTAGGATGTTATAGATTGTAGGGGCTCTCAGGAAAGCGTTTGAGCTGTGTATCTTCCATTCAGTTCTCTGATGCCATTTCTACTCTCCTCTACCTTGCTCTGTTCCCCAGGAGACTGACCTGTATGGACTAAATCAACAGGTTCCCATGTCTCTGATGTCTGCTTGGGTTCAGACAAGGGTGAGCACTAACAGAAGACTGAAGGGAGTGGGCAAGTGGAGTTGGGAAGATGACTCACATGCTCCCTCCCTGAAGGGTAAACTTGACCAAAGCTCTCGGCCTCTTTCTCCACCGGGCCCTCTTTGACTCCAGGTTTGAGTAAATATTCTATCCACTTTCCCCTTCTAGCCTTGAGGTATAAATCTATAGTGAACACTGGGGTACTGCAATATTCTTAAGGTTTCCTGGGGTCCTGTCCACACTTGGTAAGTAGTGCCTTTTCTTTTCCTTTCTCTTCCCCTTCCCCTTCCCCTTCCCTCCCCTCCCTTTCCCCCTTTCCTCCCTCCTTCCCTCCCTTTCTTCCTTCCTTCCTTCCTTCCTTCCTTCCTTCCTCCCTCCCTCCCTCCCTCCTTCCTCCTTCCTTCCTCCTTCCTTCCTCCTTCCTTCCTTCCTCCCTCCTCCTCTCCCCTCCCCTCCCCTCCCTCCCCTTCCCTTCCTTTCCTTTCACTCTGTTGCCCAGGCTAGAGTGCAGTGGTTCCCTTCAAAGTGCCCTAATTTGGGTGTGCTCCTATTGCCTGCTAAGAGCCTGACTGACACGTCAGTCTGCCCAGCTTTCCAAAGCCCTGTATCCAAACATATCCAATGATAATCTCCCTCTCCTTCATTTTTCTTTCTTATTACCTAGGAGAATCCTATGCAATTTATGAGGAATCCTGAGGTTTATGTTTTATTTTTTTTTTTCTATACACCAACTCCAACACTTTTGAACCCAGTTTTTTTCTTCTTTTTTCTAGAATGCTTGAATGCTACACACATAAGACAACTGTTTCTATTTTACTAAAATGCAAAATAAAAGCTGACCATGGAACTGTCCCAAGCTTCTGTTTGGAGATGGCCCACCTAGGTCAGGGCTGGAGTCTCTACAAAGTACTCATCCTGGGTGAGCTGGAATTTAAAATCTTGGCCTCAGGATTGTGACCTTGGTGCTCCAGGATTAGATTAGGCTTTTCTGAGTGGAATGCTACCATTTCAACCATTCTAAGGAGTCAGCGTTGTTATGTGGTTAACTGCAGAAATGACTTTCAAGAGCTGGTGTGATCAGTCCAACCCTCTTGTTTAATGACCAAATCACTTTTACTATTTAATTCTGCTCTTCTGGGGTGATTTAAATGATAAAATATCTTAAGATGGAAGGAAATCTTATTAAACAAATATTTTGACAAAACACTTGTCACAAATAGGTGAGTTTATCCTGGCTTCTTAGGGAAAGGAGGCTTGGAACATATTTAATTGTGTTAAGATAGGCTATTTTGCTTCTTTTCCCTTTCTACTCTATTCCCAATTGTAAATTTGGTCCACAAACCATGCAACTTTTACATTCAAAGTGTACATATTTCACTCTCCTTTTTGTTGCTAGTGGCCTAGGTCAGGATCCTATCATCTCTCATTCTGATCTATAGAAAAACTTTTTAATTAATCTCTCAGCAACCACTGTCTCCCTCCTCTAATTCATCCTCCAGAATGTCACCAAGTATTCTTCTAAACCATAGAAACACTTATGCCACATACCTTTTCAGAAATTATCATTCTAGAGTTTATAATAAATCCCTATATTCCTCAAGGCCCCTGTCCCTGGAATGCTGCTGTCCTAGAAAGAATCTCAGCATTTTTCAGTCATCAAATAGAGGGTGCATCTTTATCCCACAACATCTTATTTTAGGACAGAGGACAACATCACCAGCATAATGGGGTAAGAAACAGTGACATGACGCAATGGTCCTATTCATGGGGTTGCACAGGAGGAAATGGTGCCTAATGGTACTCATGAAATGTTCTCAGAGTTATTTTGCAATTAGGGTAGATGTCGCTCAAGGCTGGATCTGCACAGGGGAAACCTGATCCAAATAAATATCTGATGGGGTGAGGATATTGCCACATAATATCGCTATTTTATGGAAAATATTATCCTGCATTTCATTGATGAGGAAACTGATGTAAAGAGAGGGTAAATAATTCATGGTTTTGTGGTCACCCAACCTCTAGTGATCTCAAATGAACTTAGATTTTCACAGGATGGACACAAAGGGGTGAGAGGCAGAGAAGTGTTCTTTGGTTCCATTCCCTGCTTCCCTTAGATCTGCTGCTTGATTTCCATTCCATCTGGCTAGTGCCTATTTTCATGTCAGTTTTATAATGTGTGGATTCTTGGCCCAGCTTAAGAACTGTTGAGCTGTGTGCATGCTGGGCTGGCAGATCCAAGAGAGAGGAACTCTACTCAGATATTTACCCTCCAACTTTGTGCACAGACACAGATGCTTATGGAATGTGGATGGGAAATTCCTGATGGAGACATCCGTGCTGGTTTAAGCCGTCTAATTAGAACCAACATTTAAAGCCACCTGAAGTTCAAAAAGTTCAGACAAAGCTGGTTTCAAGAAATCAGAGATAACATACTTTTTTTCCTAGGCAAAGAAAGGGAAACATTTTCTGTATAACTTCCTGCTCTTATATGGCTTTTTCATTCACCGTATATTGAATGCCTAATGAATGTCTAGCTGAGTTCTGGGGCACAGAGATAAATATGTCTGTTTTCATGTCACTGAGGAACCTACTAGCAGTCTAGTGAAAAGGACCCAAATGATTGCAATACAGTGTGATTAGCACTATAATTGGTGGGCATACAGGATTTGCTGGAGAACAGAGGAAGCAGGAAGGAGGGGAAGTAGAGTAGCAATTCTGGAGTGGTACTAAGTAGCAATGCTGTGCTGTTGTTATACATGTTCTTGTTTAATCTTCCATCACTGCTGGAGGGACAGTATAATTTTCCCTTGATTCTCAGACAAGTAAAGCAACCTTCCCAGGGTCCCAAACCTAGGATTAAGGGCTTTTACAAAAGTTGCATCTGCAGGGTTCTAAGGCAGTGGTTCTTTTTACCTGGGCTTGCTGGAGGGGCTGCGATCATGCTCTTCACATGTAGGCTGTGTGCTGAAGGGAGACTTGGAATGTACCAGCCTGAGTGAAGGACATTCTAGGCAGCACGAGTCTAAGCCTTGAGAAATCAAAGAGTCCAGGGATCATGGGATCATGTAAAAATGACCAGCCCTTCTTTATGTCTAAAGAGAGGGTCAGAAAGAAGGGGTGATAGAGGGAACTAGCAATGCAGGTGGTGTCAGCTTTTTATATGCCATAATGTCGTTTTTGTGCTAGAAAACAGGCTATCAATTTGGAATTTTCATTTGTTTGCTTTGTGTTAGCAATTTACTTTTTAGACTTTCCTCCTAACATTTAACAAACTGAAGTGTATAATGAATGCCCACAGGCCAATGGGAGCAAGAGAGGCCATACAAGAGGAGAAAGCACCCCAGATTTGGATTCATAGACTAGCCTTGTTTCTTTGATCCACCATTTAAACCTACATAAACTTTAGGCTGTTATTTGACTCCTTTGAGGTTTACTGTCCTCACTTGTGAAGTGGTGGCAATTTTTTAGTCCTACTAATCAAGCCTGGGTATCAAACACCATCATAGATATGGGGTCCTCATGCAAACTCTAATGTATTGGGCAAACACTAGTTTCTCAGCTTTGGGCATAATGGTAGCATATAGAATCAAAGGAGAACTCTTCTTCTTGATTGGATTTCCACCAGGAAAAGAATAAAAATTGCTGTTGTGTCTCATCCTTTTTGTTTTTTCTGCAACTGCTTTGCCAAAGTTTTTCTTCTGTTCCCAGTTGTAAATGGCCTTGTGCATCCTTTGAAAGAAGACCAGGCCAGGGAAGACAAACTGGTTCTGATGTGGAAGAATCACTTGAAATGGAGAGACAGATATGAACTTGTATGTGCCTCTCTTGTCCTATGAAGAAGGTATGAGTATCCTTGGTTCACAGATAAGGAAACTGAGACTCAGCGATGAAGTCATGTGTCTGAGATCACATGGTGAGCAAGTCCTAGAGCCTGAGGCGAGCCTAGGTCTGGCAGGTTCCAATGCCTGTGTTCTTTCCACTCCTTTCTGTTGCCTGCAGCAAAAAAGCTCCTTTGAGCAAATCGATAGGGCTGTCAGCTAAGTTCAAGCCAGGGTTGAGGCGGAAGTTGACACAGGGCTCTGAATGTTCTAGCTAAGACTTTGTGGAGGCTTTTACCAGCCAATCTTCAGAAGAAAACCTCCACCCAGAACCAGATGAGATCAACCTGGGCTGTAATGAACTAACAACTTCCAGAGTGAGAATGCCTCTCTTGTTGGCTCCAGTAGACAGCAGGAAAACAAGTCAGAAATGAGGAACCAGAAAGCCACTGAGAGAAGATTTTGCTACTTGGACCGTTTCCTGGAATATTGCTGTCAAATAAGGAAAAGCCTGATAACGTTTTCAGGTGCATGTGTGTATACAGTTTTAAAGGAAGTGTTATTAAAGAACATCAGATTCAAGACTTATACAAGAAATGCCTTCAGTTTGGCGAGACCATACTTGCAGCCGGGGGGTTCTTTCACTGTTGGAGGTGTCTGCAGGTAGCGCACCTGTCCAGTGGGAATGCTCTGTCAAGATGCAGTAGTGTCATCTGGGCTGATCTTGCCCACGGCTCTCTTCCCAGAGTAGAACTGAGGGGAAGCTGAACACCTGCAGGATATCTTGGGAATGACATTCAAAAAGCTACAGCTGTCCTGGCTGAGCCAGGAGCCTGGCAAGCACTTGGAGCACACATTATTTATGTCAGCAATCTCTGTCAGCGCCACATCTGGGGATAAAGGATCAAACCCCAACAAATTTAATTAAGGCTCATCACGTAGATGAAATTGAGATGCTAGACTAGGCAATTTGTAATGGTTAGAAAATGCCCTTCTAAGCTTCATCTAATGCATTGGCTTCTTGGCATCTCCCAGAGAAAGCTCTCACCAGATACACCCCAGAGAGATGACACCTTTTAGAAGTTCAGGGACCACATAAAGGTTGGTGATGGATGTTTTCCTCAGGGGCGATTATGGCTCTTTAGTCTAATAGCTCTCCTATTCATACCATATTAAGGGCTTAATATGAACTGAAATGGTGCTGCTGGTAGCTTTAAAAGCTGACGTAAACTTAAGGGCTCTTTAGAAAACATAATATCCATGGGAAAATAGATGGCATAAAACCATAAACAAAACACAGCTCACCAATGCATTGATATAGGCCAAACTGGTATTACAGCCTGCTGGGAAAGTGGGCTCATTCCTTGTACATTTGTACATTTTGGGGGTAGGTCAGGAATCAGGAGACACAGAATGCCTTCTTGTTGGGACTTGCTGGTAGAACTTACGTAGGGCATGCCAAACCCTTCCCTTATTAACTATTTGACTCTTCCTACAGGCCCAAACATATTACCTGGGCAGTTGAGAAACGAGAACAGTTGTGGGACAAAGAACACATTGTTAAATTGCAGAGTTGCACAGTTATTGCCTGGAGCGCCAGGTTAAAGGAAACTGAACTGTGGGGTTGGCTGGCACTGTATACACAGCCCAGTCTAAGGCCCCAATCCTGAGAAACTTGCTGGGTTCCTGCCCTTTGATTCAGAGAAAGCAGCTTTCCAGCTGGGGCCGACTCCCTCCCCCACATAAAATAAAATAAAGTCAATAGCACATAAAAATTCTTTGTACTTTTCTCAGTGCCTTTCATCTGCTGAGCTCAAAGGACGATGAGGGTATTAACTCTGGCTACACCTCTTAGTGGTAGGAGGAGAGTTTATTCGTCCCTCTGTTTTATGGATGGGGAGCTGAGATAGGGAGAGGTTAAGCAATTTGACCAGGGTCACGCAATTGGTCAGAGGTGGAGCTGGAAGGGAAATCTGGTTTTCTAATTCTAAGTCTAGTGCCCCCTGCAGGCTATATGGAGCGATGCAGCTTCTAAAAAATGCTGGAGGGCTGTGGAAGTGGAATCATGCAATAAGAGCAGGAAAAGAAGCTTGTAATCATTTGGACGACGCCTTCATTTCCCAGATGCGGAGAATGAGGCTGGGAAAGTTGATGGTGATTTTTCCAAATTCAAATAGGTAGTTAATTACAGAGTAGAGTCTAGAATTTTGTCTCTTGACTTCTAGTCCAAGGTGGTTTCCTCTTAGCTCTTGGGGAGTCTCTGTTGATATCTCACTCTTGGTGTCTATACCAGTTTTGTAAACTTTAGCATACCTAGAAATTTAATTGGTGTTCAAGAAATGTCTGATGATCATTTGATAGTCTCATACTAGCTTTCTTCTTCTCTGAATTTGTATTCATTTTTCAGCAATCAGGTCAAGACCCAGAACGTCCAGGAAAGTCCACCTGATCACCTCGGAATTGCTAGAGCCTCTATTATTTGAATCCCACATTTGGCTCTGGAATTAGGGATTATTTCCTACTGTAAGTCTTCTCTGTTCCTCCTCTTTACTATTCAACCCGGCAGGCTACGTTTCTATAACCCTTTGTACCTAACTGTTCCAGCATAAGAAACATTTGGCTATAATCTTTGATGTATTTTTATCTCCTCTCCACAAGACCCTTTATACAAATTGAATCATATAACGTTAAAACACTGATGAGTTGCAAATTTAAACACTTTTTTTTTAACAAATGAAGGAAAAGAGAGGTGAAGTAATTTTTCCAGGGTTTCATTTCTAGTGAATCACATAGGAGGCAAGCCTTTTAAAATGAAATTTTGTGCTATCTCTTTTGAGGGCATCAAGCATTTTTCACAGCTCTCTCTTCTTCACAGGAACTAGAATGATGGTAATCACTTATGACGTTGTGGTTGGTTTGAAGGGAAGTGGCTCAAAACCCATCCTCTGCCACTATTAGCGATGAACCGTAATTTTTGTTGTATCTGCCTTCTACGTCCACACATGTGGGTGAATGTGTGTGTTCCACACCTCCACAAATCCTTTCATCTAGTCAAATATATCTTTACATTTCTGCTTTTATTGCAAACTATGTATAAAGTACATAAGACAGTGATTATACTTTGGAAGACTTTTCCAACAGCCCCTTTCCCCATGAGATTCTAACATGCCCTCCAAATTCTTTTCTAGTTGAGGATCACTGGGAAGAGTTGTATTACTTCAAGTAACCCTAACTGATATAACAAATAAATTCCATATACATAAAGGCTCACACTTATCAGAAATTTCTTTCTTGCTCAATTTAACAGTTCTGAAGATGGCTGAATATGTTGTTGGGTGATTCTGCTCCATGTGCTCATTGAGGGACCTAGGGCAACAGAACTAAGTCATCCTTAACATCTGCTTCTAAGATTGCTATGCTGATTTTAATCTCAGCTAGCCAAAAGGGCAAAGGGGCTTGAAGAAGCACATGTTGGGAGATTCCAGGGCCAGACCTGGAAGTCCCATGTCTCAAAAGTCACACCACTATATTTTAACTCTAAGGAGATTGGGAAATATAATTCAGGTATGTACCCAGGAAGAGAAGAATAAATTTGTTCAGAGCTCAGATCGCTGATATCATCTCATTATAATGCCTATGTTGGTAGCAACTTTTTCATTCATTCACTTTTTCATTCATTTTTTTTACTAATAAACTTGGCTATTAATTGAGAGGTTATTGTGTGTTAGGCATGATAGTTATGAAACAGGCAAAAGCGGGCAAAGTACTTGCCTTCAGGGAGCTCATGAACAAATACAGAAACAGTCATAATTCAAATACTTACATAAATCAATGTACACTTACATTTCTGCAGGTGCTGGTTTTGAAAGAGAGGCATATGGTATGATGAGAGCTTATAACAAAAGCTTGTGACTTAGCCTGGGTGAGTCAGGGGTGATTTTCCTGAAGATGTGTTTTCTGAACAGAAATCTGAAGAAGAAATAGGAGTTAACCAATTGGTTGAAGGGTGAGAGCCAGGAAAAAAAATTTCATTGCCAGTTCCAAATAAAATTGTGTCTAACACACAAGACAATTTCTGTACTGAGAAGGGGGATTAGGGATGCTACAAACCCATAATTTAATTTGGTCTGGTGATCATGTAGTCTTGAATGACACCAACTGCCTGTCTTCACTCAACTAGTGGCTTTCGCAGTGACCAGGGTGAGGTTGTTCAGGTGTGGACAGTCCACCTGAGTTAGGAGCGGCTGAGCAATCTACCTGACCAACTACCCGAGCATGATATCAGTGGACCTTCTTCGGTTCAGAGGAGTTCCTGCTTTGGCTACAGCAATAATGCTCAGCTGAGGATAGTTAGGAATCTCTGGTGTACTGAAGGTTAATCAAATATGTTACTGCCTGACCTCAGGCTGTTCTGCTACCTGAATCAATAGAGAAAGTCTTCAGTTTGCTCTTCTTGTGTGTGTGTTTTTGCCATGGTGCTCTGGTTGTGTCAATATTCACTATACTGCCTTGTGTTGTAGCATGTCAGGACAATATCCTACAATAACAGGGTACAGGAAGTCTGGCACAATACAAGGGAAAAGTAAGCATGAGAAAAAGAGGAAGATGCACAAAGTCATTTATTTGCAAGATAATGAGCAGGTTAGACATTTTTATTTTTGGAAGCGGCTTGTTTCCCAGGGCTAACACCCTGCAGGTAGCAGAGCCCCATGTACTGTTTAAAATGAGGTGTGATCCTATCAACACTATAACTTGATATATATGTTTTAACGGCATATCCTGCCAAGAAAGATATTAATGAGCTATTGCACCATTTGTTCTGCTGTTGCTTATACACAAATGCTGAGTCCAAATGAGATTCCTTGGGGGTTTGCGATTAAGGCTGGAAAAGAATTACCCACATAAACTGATTTTGTGGAGCATGTTCTGTGGTGGGAGTAACAAAGTTTATTTAAAAAGTGCAGTTGGTCAGGCTACCTTTTCTACAGATAGATTTAGTCTCAACTAGTGAAATATTAATGACTCATTTAATTTTCCCAGCTTTCATCTCTCTATGTATGAATTGAGAGCATGTGAGACTTTTGCAGTCTGCTGACCAAAAGTAGATGAGGAGCTCCTTTATAACTGTTGAGTGTGCATAGAAGTTTTGAAGGTGCTGGTCAGGCAGGGTGAGAGCCAAAGGTGTGCCCTTGGCTTCTGAAATCTTGACTTTTAGCTGTCCCCTACCCTTCTTGGTGGTAGACCTAGAAATTTTTTCTCCTCAGAAGCTCTTTTCTAGGCAAGACATGAAATCAGAACCCCCCCAGTTTTTCTTACTTGCAATTTGTTTACACTCACTCAAAATAAAGCAATAATATCCACGAAAAGACAGGTTTGAAAGGCTAGAAACTTAGTACTAACACACATTAAAGCATGCAATTATTACAATTTAAAATATCCTTCTGCACACTATGGTCAAATGCCTCCTGGGGCATGGTGGCCATTCTTTGGGAAACACTGTGCTAAAGGAATCAGCAAAAATGTGTCTGGAATAGTGAAAGTAATTCCTTTTCATAGTTGTAAATATATTTCAGTGGAACATTTGACAACTGAAGTAACTCCATGGCCTCAATTCACTTCTCTCTTTCTTTCCTCCCTCCTTCTTTTTCTTTTTCTGGGCTTTCTTCTCTCTGTCCTCCCCCTTTCACTGATTTCCTTGTAGTTGCCAAGAAGGACACCACATTTATTGTCACCATAGACCTTCAGATTAGTTTCTTGTCTGCTTCTTGAGGGCAGGGACTATGCTTGAGCTATGTGGTATCCTCAGAAGCTGCCGCAATGCCTAGCCCAGGGAAGGACTTCAGAAAGGCTATGCTAGGTGCATAGACACTGTCCCTGAAGTCACAGCACTCTGGACTTAATAGGAGAAATGGACCGTAAACCAGAAGTGGCGAATGCTGCGATCTGGGCATGCACAGGCTCCAGTGGTGAGACAAATGGGTGAGGAGTGGTCTTGGTGCCTTTACGAAGGAGACTCGAGATCCATCATGAAGAATGAACAGATGAAAGAGAGAGACATGCAAGGCGAGAAACAGCAGGGAAGCCTGAAAGGGAAGGATGAGTTTAAGGGTTATGAAAACCTTGGTTTTGAAGGTGAAGGTAGGGCTAGGTAGAAAATAAGAACAACAACAACAACAATAATAGCAAATACTTTAGCATAGTTGGCACTTACAGTGTGCCACTTACTATTTTAAGCACTTCATAAGTACTGCTTTCCTTAATCCTCACAACCACCTTGTGAGACTGAGTATTATGAGGATCCCTATTTCATGAGTGAAGAATGGAAATGATACCAGGTTGCCCAGGTAGAATGGCAAAGTTGGTGGGTTCATAGAAGCACTCTGACTTCAGATTCTGTCTTCTTAAGGACCGTGTTTCCTGGATCAGAAAATAAGAGTGGAAAGATAAAAAAAAAAAAAGGTAGTGTGTACTGAGAACTAAATATCTAATGGCGCAATTGCAGAGACTGGGGTGTAGGCTGGTGGTGAGAGTAAAATTTCATGATGGGAAAGGTGTCATTGGGTAGGTAGCCACTCACCTTGCTCACTCCTCAGAATAGCTTGGAATGGCAAAGTGGCTTTTTTGCCAGGTGGTGGAGGCAGGTGTCAATCAGCAAACATTCACCAACACTTCTTATGTGCCAATCAGTGAGTTAAGTATACAGAAAAGTATATACGTTCTCCTGCCCTTGAGGCTGACACAATCTTTGCCTTAGAAAGGAAACAGATAAGCAGGCAGTGATTCCTCAAAGTGATACAAGTCATGGTCGTTCCATAAAACCATGGTGGGTGGTGATACAAAAGAGAGAACCTGCTTGGAACATGTGTGTGCACGTGTGTGTCTGTCTTAGGCAAAGCTTCACAGAGGGCACACAAAGAAAGCTGAATCTGGAAGGATGAATGAGAGTTTGATAGAAGAGGAATAGAAGCGTTTCTGGCAAAGAGAACGTTGTGAGAGAAAGCAGTGTTGTAAGAGGGCAGGAAGTGTTTGGGAAAGAGAAGTTTAGTTTGGCTGTGTGTCCAGAATGATGGTTGGCACATAGTGGATGCTTCATGGTTTTGAATGAATGAGTGAAAGATAAATGAATGGCATCAGTGGTAGAGGAGGTTAAGGGGGGTTATTGATGAAGGTCCTGGTAGGCATGGCCATAGAGAGTGGTCTTTATTTTGTAGGCAATGGGAGCCCATTGTGTTTTCTGAACAAAGAAAAAAATATAATCAGATTTATGGATTAGAAAACACATTCTTGCAGATGTTTTGAGGGCAGAATTGAAGTGGTGAACTTTGCAATGGTCTAAGTAAAAGAGGCAGTGGGCATCAAGAGGAGAGAAAAGATTTGAAACATACTTGTGGGGAAGAATATAAAGGACAGCAGGGAAGACAGAGGGTGAGGAGGGGTGGAAGTCACAAACATTGGTTGTAAACCATGGCCCAAAGCATTTGACACTTGACCCAATGTCTTACATATGGACCCATGGGAAACAAAGTCTTCCACTGGGCTTATTCTGTGTCATCTGTCACCAATTATCCATCAAACAGGAAGCCTTAATTGGAAATGAAGATTTAGAAAAGGGGCAAAGTCAGTATTGACAAAATACCAAGAAATTGGCAGCGTGTGTGTGTGTGTGTGTGTGTGTGTGTGTGTGTGTGTGTGTTCATGTGTGTGTTTCAGGTTGGAACACTTAAGAAATGTATTTTGGCAGAAGTGGAGGAACAAGGAGTCTGGGGAAATAAAGCTCTTTTTTTACCAGAACTTACTCAGTGCTGGAGTTCATTTATAGGAAAGTGAAGTTCCTATGGAGAGAACAGGGGCCTCTTTCTCAGAGGTCTTGCTCCATCCAGCTTGCTGGGTTTTGGCAGTAGGTGGAGAAGGGCTAATACTGGGAAGGGGAGCATTTGTGGGATCAGAGGCATCACTATTGATTAAACGTGGTCCATTGCTCTCATATTTTTACTATCCCCATGTGTCCTTCCTTTCAAACTGGCAGCTACAAGCAGCAAAAGGAAATTGGAGCCTGTGTGATTTTTGCCTCACTGGTTTGAGCTTTGACTTTATTTATGCCTTTAATTTTCCATTTAGCAGATAATTGTTGCTTTGCATTCTGTTTCATGAAATGTCCTGGAGTTGAAATTAGATTCTGCCCTTGGACGTGCATCTCTGATTCCTGTTGACAGCCCCCATGATATCATCCTTTAAGCTGAGCTCTTTTCAAAGCAGACCAAGCTTCCACGCATGGAGTTTCTCACTCTCCTCTTTCTTTTCCATTTCTGGGCTTCTTTGGAACCACTGCAAACGGTTCACCAGTCCCTTCCAGTCTTGATCCTTTAACACCTGGCTAAATCTTCAAGCAGTCAGCCACAAGGAAGACTGTTCTAGAGGAGAAGAAACGTGGGCTTTGGGGTGGCCACCTTGCTCTGCCACTTGAGTGTGAAGTGACATTGGAAAATTACTTAACCATTATGGCCTCTGTAAAATGGGAATAAAAAGCAGCTTATTCTAAAGATCATTGCAGTTATTTAAAATATGATGCCTAAATAATGAAAATATGCCTAGAACCTCATGTACAGTTAGTAAATATTAACTATTGTCAATTTTATAACTTTTTGATTTATAAGGGCTTCAAACAAAGGAGAGGGCATTGGGGGCTTAGTATTTTCACTAACATTTCTTGGAGATTGCTTTTCTGCAAACAATGAATTAAAAGAAGACTTCTTTGGGGAAGAGAGACTTCATTTAGATCTTGAAGGATGAAAAGATTTGGCTGGACAGAGATGACTCCTTGGCTTGGACTGACAGATCGAAGGCTCTGCTTGGCCACTGGGTGCTGAGAGGTGTCAGATGTATGTCTGTTCTCCTGTGCAAAATAATTTATGCTGCCACTGCTCTGCAGCTTATGGTGCTCTTCTCAATGAGTCTGGCAGGGTTACGGCTACACTTCCATCTTTACCTACACCACCTCCTTCTTCTCTCATCACATATCTTCTCTTGATAGGTGTCTCCCCATCCTCTCTCAGTGGGTCCAAACACTAAATTCTTGGGTCTTCAAATGTGGATATGAATTATATAGCTCATTTTTGCCATCCCTTAGTATTGCCGAATTTTTGTTTTGTTTTGTTTTTGTTTTTTGAGATGTAGTCTCACTCTGTCACCCAGGCTGGAGTGCAGTGGTACAATCTTGGCTCACTGCGCTCTCCTCCTCCTGGGTTCAAGTGATTCTCCTGCCTCAGCCTCCCAAGTAGCTGGGATTACAGGTGTCCAACACTATGCCCAGCTAATTTTTGTAGTTTTAGTAGAGACAGGGTTTCACCCAGTTGGCCAGGCTGGCCTCGAACTCCTGACCTCAGGTGATCCACCCGCCTCGGCCTCCCCAAGTGCTGGGATTACAGGCATGAGTCACCACGCCCAGCCTGAATGGTTTTTAAATTGTTCCCTCCCTCTCTCCTTTCCTCCTTTCCTATATCCCTTCTTCCCTCCTTCCTTTTCATCCTTTCTGGTATGATGATCATTTGAATATAATGACCACACCTGGCTTTAATTTCCAACTCTGCCACTTATAAACCGTAAGCAAACTTTTCGTATCTCCAAACATCTGTTTCCTTCTCTGTAAAATGAGAAAAATAATTATATACATAGGAATCTCAGGATGATTAAATGTACTAATATGTGTCAGGGCATCCTTCAGCATTTCTGACCTAGAATAAAAGCTCAATAAATGCCTTTTTTAGTTACTATTCAACAAGCATTTGTTTGATGAAAAAGTACATATGTATATTTTGTACACACACATATACGCATATGCATACAGACATTATATAAATACATATAATTAGAAAAGTGCAGAAGACAATTTGGAGTTTCTCAGACCATTGAGGTCCCCAGGCAAAAAGCTCTGGAGAACAGAACCTCCATGGGTTTGCTCATCCTGTGCCCTCCCCTGGAATGACATTTTTACTGATACTATTTCTTTTCAAAATGCTGTGGCTCCAGCAGGGCCTCAGTTAGCCTTACTGCATTGCCTAAGCCTTTCCTCCTGCCTCTCCTCCTCACCACAGTGCCCAGTACAGTGCCTGCAAGCAACAGAAATCTAATACGGACTTCCAAAACTGCATACACTGAGATAAAAATAAATTCAAACTCTGCCACTTATAAACTAGTCAGATTGTAGAAGACTTTATTCCATCACATCAGTTAAAAGGCCAACAGGAACCACATCTCCAGCATTTGCTAGTAGAACTCAGTCAGTGCTGCCTCACTCTGCACAAGGACTGTGATGGTTCAGGTGAACGAACAATCAGAGACCTTTTGAAGTAAGTGTAAGATCAGATCAAAATTAACAATGTGGAATAACCCACATTTTGTGTGAATTAATTTATCATCATAAATAAGATATATTCCATATGTAGGAAATAGTCCTTTTTCTGTTTTGTTCACTGCCGTGTCCTTTGTGGACCTCACAGCCCTCAGCACTCAATGGGCTGTAATAAATAGAAGCAAATGAGTGAATGAAGGAATGAATGGGTAGCTGAAGGAAAATAAGCTGGCTTAAACTGCTACAATTTATTGAGTGCTTATTTGCATGCCAGAAACTTAACATACATTATTTAACCTGAAAAACATTATGGTAGACTCTGTTATTATTTTCATTTTTCCCAGTGAGGAAATTAAAGTTTAGAGAAGTTTGATCCCTATGCCAAGGCCACACAACCAGGTCTGGTGGTTTTAACCATCAGAATACACAATTAAATGCCTTGTTTTAATCTCACCAAATGGTAAAAGAAAAAATTAAAACTTTAACATTGTAATTTAGTCTGAAACTGATTAAAATCTCTAGTGGTTGCTCAATCAGGTGGGATATGGTTTCATATTCCATAGGGCTCTGCCTCAGTTTCTCCATCTGTAAAGTGGAAATGACGAAGCCTGCATTCTCTCTCTGGGAGGTTATGAGATTTAATTAGGGCAATGGTTATAAAGATGCTTTGAAGTTAGAAAGTGCTTATTAATATCAGGGCTCATGACTATGTTTCCAAATAGGATATCCTTGTCTTTAAAGCCAATTGCCTGGGATGAGCCCCAAAGGCCTCCCAGAGGGAATGGTAGGAAACATTAGCCTTGGATGCCTAATTCAGCCCATATGGTTTTGCAGCAATTCCATAAGTAAAGAGGAGACTGAATGATCCCATCTCTTTAACGTTTAAGTGTGGGAACATTAAGAGTTTGCTCCTTAATGATTATAACATTCAGGAATGTTGGCACCTTTTCTTCCTGACTTCACGTTATGAAACTCGGGGAGTGTTGAGTAACAGGATGTACGTTCATGCCATTTTCAGTTTCTTTGGGGGTTCATTTTGGGAAACCTTCCTTCAAGCAAGAGCTTCAGTGGTTAGACACGGAACAGCCCTTTAACCTCAGGGCTATTGCCTCCAATGTGGTGTAAAGGTCCTAGTTTGTGGAGTAACAGTTGGATCCTGTTCCTCATCAGTTAGGAGTCATTGTTTGCAAATGTGTTCCCCAATGGAAAAGGATTAGATCCTGGACAGTAGGGAACATTATGTTCATATTGCAAAATCTTGGTACAATCTAGTCTTGGGCTGATGGGAGATTTGATGAAGCATTCTTCTTCTTGGCTGAAAATGTCATCGTAGGGCTCAGTACACTGCCATATCTGGTCCCTTTCCCCTGACACACTCCCATGCACACTGCAAGGCAAAAATTAAATAAATCTTTTTGGTTCTGTTGGAGGTGCCCCAGGGCTATGGGAGGATCACAGAACTCAGATCAAAAAACCGATTTTGCCTTGCTAATGTGTTACTTGAGCAGGTTGTTTTAAATCTGCAGCCTAAGTTTTCTTATCTGATTTAGTAATTATAATATATGATACTTTTTGTCACCCAGGGTTTTCATAATTATCAAATGAGTCTATATGTCTGCTTCTATCTATCTGTCTACTGATCAATAAAGAAATGGGAGGCAGTCTAGCATGATGGCTATGATGTGTATTTAAATGCTGTGTGGACTTGGGAAAGTTACTTAACCTTTGTAAACCTCAGTTTCTTCCTCTGCAACAGAGAGCTAAAAATACAATACCTGTCTCAAAATGTTGCAAAAATTAAATGAGATGATCTATGTTGAAGGAAATAGCACAAAACTTGGCACAAGATAAGCTTTTGATAAATATCAGCTATGGTCATTATCCTCATTGTTAGAAGAATGATTTAAAAAATTAGAAGTTTCTATACATACAGAAAATATTATTATTGTTTAAATTTGCTCTCTATTTGGGTAAAAAGCAATTCTGAGGCTTACCAATTGTTCCTTGGAAAAATGAATTATTCACCAGGTTATTGGCTTCAGCACATTTCATCCTCAGCAGGAACAAGAGAAGTGCAAAATCTGCTGGTGCAGTTGTGGCCCACTTACAGGGGTACACTTGAGGAAACTCAGCTCAGTGAGAATCTGATTGCAATTGTTTCTTGTGAGGTCAATGTCTTTTGCAGATTAGGATCAATGTTGAAAAGATGCCTGGAAAGCGAATCTTCACATATTGAAAGCTCTCTTCGTACTTTTTCTTTATAAATGTACAAATATGTTCATCCAGAAACTGAGATATAAAACACACTGGCAAACATAACCAATAGTTC